AATAGGGGCTGTAGTGTGTATCTAATTGCTCTACCTACTGTGTGTATAGGGGCTGTAGTGTGTATTTAGGGTTGTAGCGTGCATCTAGAGGCTGTTATCTGTACGTATAGGACTCTATTGTGTTTGTAGGGGGCTATTGTGTGTATGGCTGTAATGTGTGTGCATAGGGGCTGCAGGGTTGTAACGGTGTGTGTGTGTGTGTGTGTGTATAGAGGCAGTAATTTGAATATAGGTGTTGCAGTATATGGGAGGGTAGGGGATTCAGAGGTTTAAATATAGGAGTGTCAGAGCATTGCCATAGTATCTTGTGGCAACGTTCTGCATAGTGAAGCTCATTATTATTATTATTATCATCATCATTTATATAGCGCCAACAGATTCCGTAGCGTTGTACAATATTATAAGAGGGGGGATTAAACTATAAATAGGACAATTACAAGAAAACTAACAGTAACAATAGGTTGAAGAGGACCCTGCCCAAACGAGCTTACAGTCTATAGGAGGTGGGGTATAAAAACAATAGGACAGGAATTTGCAATCAAATAAGGTGGGAGTGAGGCTGAGCTGGAGGAGAGAGTAAAGTGCTGCCCTTTGGGAGAGAGCAAGAGACAGGTATGTGAGATAGAGGTTACTCTGGGAGGCCATAAGCTTTCCTAAAGAGGCACTTCTTAAAAGATACAAGACTAGGGGAGAGTCTGATGGTGGTAGGCAGGCTATTTCATAGGAAGGGAGCGCCCGCGAACGGACAGGATGTGGTCACAGGCAGAATGGAGAGACCGAGAAGGGACATACTGAAATGGAAAAATCAATCAATACATTGATTATTTCTTTGTGTATCTGCCCCTGGCCAAATCAATGAAACAATGCGTGCACGCTCCCTGAAGTAATTCACACCAGACACAGGTTCCAGGTTGTTGAATAACTTGAGGAAAGTTTATTCAGAGGGGACGGCAGGTCCCTTTTAAAGCAAAATTACATCATAAGCATTGTCAGAGATAACATAGAATAATACATCAATTATTGGTTAGGTGTTAAGTGGTTGCTCTAATGCTCTGCCTACTGAAGTGATGTCACCGGGGCCATGAGGGTCTCCCACGGTTTCCCGGCGCCATCTTGCTGCACGAGGTAGTTAGTTGGTGTTAAGAAGGGAAGGGGGGGGGAGGAGGGTTTAGAAGCTTCTAGCAGCCATTTTGATTAAAACATGTGTGCTCAGCTTTATATATGATATATCGTGGAATGAGTAAATAGACATTTTCACTAACTAGGAAATATGTGTAGACCTTATTTCCACAACAGTCCCCCCTAAAATGGCTATTTACCATAACAACTGCTACTGTCCCTAATAAGTCCCTAACTGCCTGCAACTTATCTGTCTTAACAAGCATCGAACACTTCACTCCGTGGGTAACCCGCAGGGGCTAGTCCACCACATCTCCACACGTGAGACTCGCCTGTCAAGACAGACGCTTTCCCTACACTGTCCCTACAGGAAAGCAGTTGTTTGTTTGAACTGATGTGATTGAAGGGGTGTATGTGGAGTGTCATCTTCGAGGTCTGTGATGTCTTGATTTAGGAAAGTAGGGGTCACGTCATCTATAGTCTTATCTACCGCTTTCTGTAAGTACTTCTGTATGCAAGGGAGCATGCAACAGGTTAAAAATAAGAAGATGATAATCATTACAAGAACAGCTGTCCCTACCTGGAAGAGAGTCCTTTGCCAACCATTCATCCACCCAAACCATCTGTCCCAAGTGTCAGTGACTCCTGAATTTTTCTTTAGTTCAAGAGACTATCTAGACGTAGTCACCTTACCATTTGGCCCAGTGTTGTCTGGAATGTATGTACAGCATGTCATGGTCTCAGGGAGGATCTTACATACTCCCCCTTTCTCAGCTAAAATCATGTCTAGGGCCATTCTGTTCTGAAATGTCATTTGAGTAGTGGCTTGTAGTTGTTCTGCTAGGCCCTGTAGGGCATCCCTTGTGTAGTTAACGAAGCGCTGCTGATTATAATAGATGTAGTTGATCCAATTGACATTTTTGTTAGCAGTTATCATTGGAATTAGGGATTCAAATCCTGCAGCCACTTCATCTCTTGCTTTGAATTCGTTAGGCACCCCCCTTGGCACACCTATGGCATCAATATACACATGGGGGTCGAAGCTCCCTCGGATAGGAGCCTCTCGTTTGGTTCTAGAGTGTACATGTGTAAAGTTTAACGTATTATGACTACCATCTGGAATAATGTGGAAAGGCATTATGACTTTGGTTAGGGCACACTCTCCCCACCATTGCCCAGCTAGTTGGGACCTCAATTGTTTGTCACCACATAACCAATAGATGTCAGCGATTGTCTTTGTGTGGTTCATTAGTAGTGATACAGGTGGGTTATGGTAAGTTGAGCAGTATCCTGATGGGAATTTGCCCAAATACAAACCAGTGTTCTTAGGTATTGCATAACATGTGTAATTACCTGGGTAGACGGTGACTCCATCAGGTGGTTTTACATGTCCATGAGTGATTGGGTAAATCCTCTTCCATGATTCACATGTTGAGGAGTTGGTGGTGGATTGTGCATAAAGACTCAAAACACATAATTCTACTTTGGGGGGTAAGCTCAGAGGTACTGTACCCAGATGGGGCCTGGCTCCTCCACATACATAACAGTTAGTCTTATTGTGTGAGTTAGCATTATACCTCATCCATTCTAACCACAAATTAGTATCTGAAAACCCAGTCTCTACTGCCATGGTATCTTCAAAGGTGGGGTTGGCTATAGCTACCATGTCATGTAGGGTCTTGATATGTGGCTTTAATGGGTTAATGATCATGTGAGTGGTCCCTACCCAGTCTGGGGAGGTGAGCATGTCTTGTAGGTAAAATGTCCCCAATGCATTATGTGAGCCACCTCCCTTCCAATACATTCCCATCACATATTCCCCTGCATCCCTTGGGCTGGGGTGTTCTATATTCAGGGTAAGTTTAATGGGAGTTGACCCTATGGGTTTACTCAGAGTCATTCTAGAAAGTAGGGGTTTCCCGTCTTTGTCAAGTCTGTCCAGTGCAACTTGAGGTCTGTAGCCCCATGGTCTACCTGTATTCCACCCGGCAGCTTTCCACGAACTACAATGGTGTCCCCAAACTCCTCCAGTCACACAAATGTATGGATCCTTTTTGTTAGGTATGTCTTTGTATATGGCTGCATATTGTGTCTGTGGAAATGTACAAGTAACTATGTCACAGTAATCAAAAGTGTATGTGGCTACATCAGTATTAGAAGAATTGTACCAGAAAGTGTAAACATGATTATCTTTGGTTATGGCAACTTGTTGGGCCCAGGCAAAGTGTAGCAGCATAAGAAAACACAAAACACATAATAAATTCATATTTCAACAGGATCAGCTTCTTCTGGAGCAGGCACTTTTTTGCAATGTGAAGCGTGTATCCAAGAACTCTTTCCAGCTAGTTTAACTGACGTTGCGGTAATCAGAAGCACTTGGTAAGGACCATCAAATCTTGGCTCTAGGGTGTGTTTTCTGAGAAACTTCTTGACCATAACCCAGTCACCCGGAAGCAGCTTGTGCGTACCTGTATTCGACTCAGGATCTGGAATAGAAGAAAACACTTGGGCATGTATCTTGGTCAAGGCATGTGAGAGGGCAGTCACATAGTCTACCATAGCATCTGACTGAATCTGAAGCTGTTGGGGAAAGTAGCAACCTAACCTGGGTGCTGTACCAAACAAAATCTCATAAGGTGACAAGCTATATTTCCCTCTGGGAGTGTACCTCACACTAAACAACGCTAGTGGGAGACTCTCGGGCCAGGGCATGTTAGTTTCTTGGGACATTTTAAGCATTCTGGCTTTCAAAGTGCCGTTCATGCGTTCTACCTTACCGCTACTCTGTGGGTGGTATGGTGTGTGGAATGCAAGGGTCACCCCCAGTGCTGACCAGACTTCCCGTGTTAGCGAGGCAGTGAAGGAGGTCCCTTGGTCACTTTCAATTACTTCTGGAACTCCATAGCGGCAAACAATTTCTGTCAAAAGATACTTGGCTGTAGTCCTCGCGGTGAGATTAGTCACTGGGAAGGCCTCTGGCCATCCTGAAAACATGTCCACTATGACCAATGCATATTCATAACGTCCACTCTTTGGCATCTGAATGTGATCAATCTGGATACTCTGGAAGGGGTATTGTGGTTTAGCTAGGTGATTAGGTGCGGTCTTTATGATCTTTCCAGGATTGCATTTAGCACATATAGTACAAGATTTACAGTAATTCTGTGTTAAGGTAGTGATGCCTGGTGCTTCAAAATACTTGTCAATCAGTGAGTTCATAAGTAGTTTTGACAGGTGGGCTGGCCCATGGGCCCATTGGACCACCGCTGAGTACATACTTCTGGGTAAGCAGAACTTGAGATTGATGGTGTAAACATCATCACGGAGTACAGCTCCTTTATTCTTCCAACTTTGTTTCTCCTGGGGAGTAGCAGCAGCTTGTTGCTCCTTCAGAAGCCTAAGATCTGTAGGCAGTGTTTGCATAGTATAGATGGGTAATGTATCTGTGACCACTTCCCATCCTTGCCGTGCTGCTTCCTTAGCTGCCTGATCAGCCAAGTGGTTGCCACGTGCTTCTTCTGTGTCTAGTCTTCCGTGGGCTTTTACTTTCAGTACTGCCACCTCTGCTGGAAGTTCCAATGCATCCATCAGTTCTGCAATAGCTGCCCCATGCTTTACTGGGGTACCGGTAGCCGTAAGAAATCCTCTGGTCTTCCAAATCAAGCCAAAATCGTGTGCTACTCCCAGGGCATATCTTGAATCCGTGTAAATATTGACACGTAGACCTTCAGACAATTTGCAGGCCACAGTCAGGGCTGTTAGCTCAGCTTCTTGTGCAGACTTAGTTGGTTGTAGGGCAGCTGCCTGTAGTACTTGACATCCTGTGGTGACTGCATACCCCGTGTGATACTGTCCCTGTTCATCAGCAAATCTTGACCCATCCACAAATAGTGTTTGATCCGGGTTGAGTAATGCAGCTTCATAGACAGTTGGTAGGTGTGTAGTTTCCATTTTCATTTGTTCAAAGCAATCATGAGGAATATCTAGGTCACAGTCTGTGGTGAGTGGGTCTTCGCAGGCTTCTGTGTGGTACCTTGGGTACCCTGCTGTACAATAATTAATAGTCTTTTTGTTGATCCCCGTAGAAGTCAGTTGTTCTTGGGTCATTTGGCTCCAGGTTTTGGCCATCGGGCCTAGGTCTTTCCATGAGATGTCGGGGGATCTGGTGAGAGATATGTGTGGGATAGCTGTTTCCCAATGATGATAGAGATGTGTTACATTCTCTGGAAGATGTACTAGGATAAGCATGGTACCTGTGGGGTCCCAGAATAAGTCAGTCAGGGTAATTTGAATTTCTTTGAGCTGGAATAGTTCTTCCTCATAGTTCATATCAGGGCCTGGTATGTCCTTAAACCACAAGGTACAGTGAAGTAGGGTCTCTGATTGTTCATCATGTGGAGGTGCAAGTGCAGGCAGCTGCAAATCTGTTCGGACCTCTGGGTTGATATCCAGGCTATACCAGTGATGCACAATTCCACCCTTGGGAAGTGGCAGAAGAGTGGCTGGGTTCAGGGAAAGACATCTCTGGAGTTTCACATTGTCAGGTAGAAGTAAGGAGGTTTGCAGACGGAGGTGACGTTGGGAGGAAAGGTGTTTAGGTTGAACTTGTTGCAGAATTGCAGTAATGTCATGAGGGGCCAACACTGTGAGGTGATGGCCAAGAACAAAATCATTGGTCTTGTCCAGGAGGGCGCTGGCGGCAAACACCGCTCTGAGGCAAGAGGGGCTACCCCTCGCGACAGGGTCAAGCATGCAGGAAAAATAGGCAATAGGTCGTTGTCTTGACCCATGTTTCTGGGTAAGGACTCCGGAAGCATGTCCTGACTTTTCAGAGACAAACAAATTGAAAGGAAGTTGGTAGTTGGGTAGGCCCAAAGCAGGTGCAGAAGCAATAGCTCGTTTCAGATTGTGGAAACAGGAGATAGCTTCTTCAGTGAGGTGAAAGGGCTCACTCCTGAGGGCATCATAGAGTGGCTGCATGAGCTTTGATGCTTTGGGTATCCAGGACCTGCAGTATGTGATAAGACCCAAAAAGGCATGAAGAGTCTGATGTGTCGCAGGTAATGGGAGTTGCAGAATAGCTTGCACACGTTGAGAAGTAAGATGTTTGGTGCCATGGGAAAGGCAATGTCCCAAGAAGACCACAGAGGGCCGGCACCATTGTAGCTTTGATTTTGAAGCTTTGCAACCAGCTGCAGCTAGGAAACATAGGAGATCTTCTGAATCACGCTCTGCAATGGGCAAATCAGGAGCACAGAGAAGGAGATCATCAACATATTGAAGCAGGACAACATCCAAATGAGATTTCTGCCAGGGATCCAGAACCAGGGGCATGGCATGAGCAAACTGTGTGGGGGAATTCTGAGCCCCCTGGGGCATAACAGTCCAGGTATATTGTTGTCCTTCATGAGTGAAGGCGAAGAGAAAGCGGCAGGAAGGGTCCAGGGGGACACTCAAAAAGGCATTAGCTAGATCCACTACAGTGAATATTGTGGAAGTTGGTGGGACTTGGGACAAGAGGGTGTGAGGGTTTGGAACAATAGCAGTGTCTTTTATGGTTACTTAATTGACAGCACGGAGGTCCTGCACCATGCGGTACTGGTCGGGTTGACCCTTGACAGTTCGCTTTTTAACAGGGAAAAGTGGTGTGTTACATGGGGATGTGCACTTGATGAGGGCACCTTTGGCAAGGAGGCTTTCAACTTGTTTGGTAATAGCTTCAGCTTGTGCTGGCTTCAGAGGATACTGTGGTCTACGAGGAGGTAGTGCTCCGGCAGGATCCGGACCAAGACTGGGGGTACATGTAAGCGCCCAATATCATCCGGGCCGGTGGACCAAAGTTCTTGGGGAATACGATCCAGAGCACTGGGGGTGTGTGAGACCCGTGCATTCCCTGTACTGTCAGTCAGGTTCAACAAGATGGGGAGTGAGCAGAGGACAGAGGTATCCTTTTGTGATAAGGGGGTTGTCAGCTCAACCTGACCATCTGCAGTAAAGGTAATAGAGGCCTGGAGCCGAGAGAGAACATCGGCACCTAGGAGGTTAATGGGGCAAGTAGAGGAAGCAACAAACCGGGAGAGGATGTGTGATCCTACGTGTAGGAGCTTAGTAAGGGGGTTACTGCGTGGTGTACCATCCACCCCAACACAGGAAACATCGGTGTCAGATAAGAAGGAAGGGTCTGGCAGGTCTTGTTCCCTAAGGACACTACGGGCTGCACCTGTGTCAACTAAAAAGGTGGTTGGGTGACCCTCCACGGGGAGAACTACAGTAGCTAAAGGCCCTCCCCCATCCCCCGCAGACACTGCCATGGCAGGGGTTGCTGACACAGGCTTGCCAGTTACCTATTGTAATAAATCTAGATGGGCCTGGTCTGGTCCCTGGTACTGGCGGGAAGTGGAGGGAGGGTTAGTGGAATGCATGGGAGGACGGGATGGACGGATGGCATGGCGGGGCTGTGGCTGGCTGTCTTGGAAATCATCGTTGTCATACCCTTCAGCGGAGGGCGAAGTGTATGCACGAGCTTCTGATGCAGGGAGTCGGGCTTGGGTGTATTCAGGAGGAGGGGGAGGAGGTGGAGGTGGAGGAAGCTGTGGCAACTGTGGATGGGGCAAGGCAGGGAGGTAATCAGTGGAAGGGAGGTTATAGCCGGTGACATGGGGACTTGGGTACCGGGGGGCCTGTTGGCGGAACACTCTAGGGTGTGGGCAATCTCTTCTAAAGTGACCTGGCTGATTACAATTAAAACAGGTCTGGATTGTCGTGATAGTCCGGTCCCGGGAGAAGGGAATCGGTGCAGGCAGTGTCTGGGGTGACTGAGTGTACTGTTGGGGGATTAACTAAGGAACTTGGTTAGAACCTGCAATTGGTGTGGAGGTAGTGTACATCAGAGGACTGGTTCTTCGCTGTGTGGGTTGCAAAACAGATTCTAAGCCTTTGGCTACCAACAAAAGAGTGTCCAGAGGAATAATTCTATACTCAGGGCGAGCTAAAATTAACCCCTTACGAATGTGTTCCCTAAGACCTGCCCCTAAAGCTGCAGATAGCATCTGGGTGTGTGCCTTGTTATAGGTGCTGAATCCTAAGTCTGAAAAAGTCTGAGTCAATCTAGAGTGATACTTTTCAACTGTCTCAAGTTTATCCTGAATTATGTCATTAATGCAAGTAGCCTGATCAGCTAGTTTATCCTGTGCCCAGGCTCGAAGCTGTTCACAGAAAATTTCACCAGAACGAAAATCAGTATCAGAAGTAAGTGGAGCGTCGTTAAAGCTCCGATCCATAATTGGCCAGTATGCATCTCCAGCCTTTATTTCACACAAACTTATAAGATCCCGCCAAGCAGCGGAGTATGTTTTACGGATCTGGGCCATCCTGCGGAAAAAGGGCATGGGGTGTTTCTCAGGATCAGGGAGTGAGGTCACAAGGGTAGCAGCTTGGGAAGGGTTGAAGGTAACATACATGGGTGGTGCACCATCCGCTCCATGGTTAATCTGGGTATAACCCTGGGGGATAGAGTGCCGTTGGGGGTGCCTGTTCCCCCCCAAGCGAGGTGAGCCCTGGTCCACCACAACGACCTCCTCGGGCACCACCGGGCTGCGGTGAAGAGTAGTCTCAGGGATAGCTGTGGCGGGGGCGGCAGGGAGGCCGGTGATAGGAGAGGTAGTTGGGTGGAAACCGGAGGCTTGGGGGGAAGCACCCATCGCATAGGGTTGGTCCGATGTCACAGACACCTTGGACCCAACCACCATGATTGGATAACTAGGACTGGCGGAAGGGACATGAGGAATCAATGCAGTGGAAGGGGCTGTTATGGGGGCCGGTTGAGATGGGCGTGAGAGGTGAGTATTTAGGACATGAGCAAGAGCAGAGATTGGATCGGAAGGCTCGGGGATGCTAGCGGGAGACAAGGAAGGGGTCGGAGGTTCGGGGGGAGGAGGAGGGGGTGGTAAATCAGTGGGAGGCGGCACAGGGATTGCGGAATTAACCAGGGAGGTAACAGCAGAGAAGAGGGCGGATATCGATCTAGACAAGTCATTGGCCGTGGATGGGTCAGGGGTCACCGGGAGAGGGGTCGGAGGGATGGGAACGGGGGACTGTGTCCTAACAACGTAGGTGGAGGGTTGGGACGGCAAACCAGTCGGGGGAGGAGGAGACAACGAGGTAGGGGGGGCCGGGGCTTCGGGAGGAGGTAACACTGGAGAAGGGGTCGGAGGGGTGGTAACAGGGGGTTGGGTCAGGGCGGTGAGGGCAGAGATTAGGGACGGCAAATCGGCCTGAGGGAGGAGGAGGCAACGAGGTAGAGGGGGCCGGGACTTCGGGAGGAGGAGGTAACACTGGAGAAGGGGTTGGAGGGGTGGTAACGGGGGGTTGGGTCAGGGCGGTGAGGGCAGAGATTAGGGATGGCAAAACGGCCGAGGGAGGAGGAGGCAACGAGGTTGAGGGGGCCGGGACTTCGGGAGGAGGAGGTAACACTGGAGAAGGGGTTGGAGGGGTGGTAACGGGGGGTTGGGTCAGGGCGGTGAGGGCAGAGATTAGGGACGGCAAATCAGCCGAGGGAGGAGGAGGCAACGAGGTAGAGGGGGCCGGGACTTCGGGAGGAGGAGGTAACACTGGAGAAGGGGTGGGAGGAGTGGTAACGGGGGGTTGGGTCAGGGCGGTGAGGGCAGAGATTAGGGACGGCAAATCGGCCGAGGGAGGAGGAGGCAACGAGGTAGAGGGGGCCGGGACTTCGGGAGGAGGAGGTAACACTGTGTGGATAGCGGGAGGGTCCTGGAGGATGGGAGGGGTGGATAAGGGAGCAAAGGCAAGGGGACCGGGATTAACGGAGTTGGTAGAATGGGCAAGGGTCGGGGGAGTTGGGTGTGTAATAGACGAGGAGGGTGAGGGATCGGGTGTTGCTAGGGATGGGGTACTTGAGGTGGAAAGGGGATGAGAGGAGGAAGAGGAGAGAACTTCGGTGGGTGAGGCGGGAGTAGTCAGGACGGGATCTTGACGAGGATTCGGAGTGGGAACAGGCACTGGGGGAGGCAGCGGAGGACATGGAGGGGGGGGGCTTCAACAGACGTGACGGGAGAATGGTTGATGGAGGGGGCTGGGTCATAGGGGGGTTGGTGCATGGGAGTGGGTGGGAACGAGTGAAGTGGCACTGGGTAATAGTAAGCACCATCCGAGTACGGGGCACAGGGGGGTGGGAGCTGAAGGCACACCCCCGGGGGGTGGGGTTTGTGCTGTGACGGGGGAAGCAGGGCGGGAATTTACTATTGCGCTCTGGGCGCCATCATAGGGCGGTGGTCGCGGGACAATGGAAACAACATCATCATTGTTAACACTCCTATGGTAGACATACACGATTTGCCCCTCAAACTCCAACTCTTCCTCGACCCATCCTTCCCGTTTCAGACCTCTAGCTACCCGATACCAAGCCTCTGCAACCTTTGTGAGTCCACTATCCAACAACAACCCTTCCTTGTCTATGAGTAACTTCCTCCAAAACTCAGGCTGCAATCTCCCACTGGGCAACATCTGGAAGCCACACACTTTAGCAATCTTTTTAAGTTTTAACATTGCATCTTCCCCTGCCCTTTCTTTCACAATGTCACAAGCCAGCAAGCCCTTAGCAGGTCTAGCGTGTTCCTGTCCCATCTTGAGTAAACGAAGCGCGCCACGCGCTAAAGACAGATAAATAGAGGAGGTACAAGGGAAAAAGAATGTCTACAGTGCTCGACTACCACGAGAACTTGAGCCCCGTGCGTCTTCCCCAAACGTAGACCAGTCACAGAGATCCGCCCACCCGGGGTGGTGGTCACGGACGGGAGCGCATGAGCGTGGGTGACTAACACAGCACTGGGCAACAGGCAAAGGAGAGATAAAGAACAAAGGAGAAAATGAACGTGGCTGCGCTAATGAGAAGACATTTGCAAAAATCACAAACATATAAATGAGCGTAAAACTCCGGAATCCAGAACTAACCACACAATACACACACACCAAGGGTACCCACACTGTAACAACAATTAAACAGAAACCACAGAATGATAGAGAGTAAAATGGCCATGTACATGTTAACACCACTGGTGTCAAATATTCAAAGTATAGCAGTCCCCAGCCGTCACCCACCAGGCTGGTCCCGGTATAACACAGGTACCAATGAATACACTGCAATAATCAAACAAAATCCCAGCCCCACCGGCTGTAATGCGTTCCCTGCCCGCTAGGCAGTCAAGCAACCATATAATCCCAGCCCCACCGGCTGTAATGCGTTCCCTGCCCGCTAGGCAGTCAAGCAAACATATAATCCCAGCCCCACCGGCTGTAATGCGTTCCCTGCCCGCTAGGCAGTCAAGCAAATATATAATCCCAGCCCCACCGGCTGTAATGCGTTCCCTGCCCGCTAGGCAGTCAAGCTAACATATAATCCCAGCCCCACCGGCTGTAATGCGTTCCCTGCCCACTAGGCAGTCAAGCTAACATATAATCCCAGCCCCACCGGCTGTAATGCGTTCCCTGCCCGCTAGGCAGTCAAGCTAACATAAAATCCCAGCCCCACCGGCTGTAATGCGTTCCCTGCCCGCCAGGCAGTCAAGCTAACATAAAATCCCAGCCCCACCGGCTGTAATGCGTTCCCTGCCCGCTAGGCAGTCAAGCTAACATAAAATCCCAGCCCCACCGGCTGTAATGCGTTCCCTGCCCGCTAGGCAGTCAAGCTAACATAAAATCCCAGCCCCACCGGCTGTAATGCGTTCCCTGCCCGCTAGGCAGTCAAGCAAACATATTTTAAAAGAAGGAGAAACACACACACATATAAATGAATACAGGAGGCAGATAGACAATCGACAGGTTCACTTTAAAAAGGCACACCGGATGAGTTAATTACCTGTCTCTAGTAGCCTTCTGGAAGCCGGAAGTGGACTCTGAGACAGACCGACACAAAACAGGAGAATAACACAGGCAACGGCTGTATTATGGAGGTGATCAGGCTCCGCTTGTCCCACTTTCCGGAGGTCCGCTCCGGTCCGTTGGTTCCGGCCCTCCGAACCGGCCCTCCGGTGGCCCCACGTTGGGCACCAATTGAAATGGAAAAATCAAAGTATTGATTATTTCTTTGTGTATCTGCCCCTGGCCAAATCAATGAAACAATGCGTGTACGCTCCCTGAAGTAATTCACACCAGACACAGGTTCCAGGTTGTTGAATAACTTGAGGAATGTTTATTCAGAGGGGACGGCAGGTCCCTTTAAAAGCAAAATTACATCATAAGCATTGTCAGAGATAACATGGAATAATACATCAATATTGGTTAGGTGTTAAGTGGTTGCTCTAATGCTCTGCCTATTGAGTGATGTCACCGGACCATGAGGGTCTCCCACGGTTTCCCGGCGCCATCTTGCTGCACGAGGTAGTTAGTTGGTGTTAAGAAGGGGGGGGGGGAAGGAAGGTTTAGAAGCTTCTAGCAGCCATTTTGATTAAAACATGTGTGCTCAGCTTTATATATAATATATCGTGGAATGAGTAAATAGACATTTTCACTAACTAGGAAATATGTGTAGACCTTATTTCCACAACACATACCTATGGATCTGTGAGGAGATATAAGAGGGGTTAGTATTGCAATGAGAACAATGCCCTTGGTCCGCAGCCCACATGCTCTCTGCTCTCCACCAGCCGCACCAGAGTGCTCTTGGCCAGTGAGGGAGATATTTGATCTTACCACTGGTGATTCAAGTTACAGAGCTTCATCTTTAGGTCAATGCTGTGTATCATGTTGGACAAAAGAAAACACAGGGCTGAGAAATTGAGTGGTGAAAACACACTAGGTTAACATTTTTTTTTTTTAATGTAAACTGTAGGTGTCCTTAACCTGTATACGATGTATGTAAGTGATTGAAAGCTCTCTTGACTTTTCAAACAAGGCAACAGCCATGCATACCAACCAAATAGGAAATAATAAGGGGGAATCAGATAATATCATTACATTGATAAACAGAGTATATTAGGAGCTGATAAAATAATAGCTGTCAATTTCCCAGTATTAGCGTTGTATTAAATAAATTGGAACTTTTATAATCATTCTTGCTGGCAGCCTTTTCGTTCTTTAAAAAGCTGCTTGAACATGACAGGTCTCAATGACAGGTATTGTAAAACTGGAGACGTTGGCAAGAAGATGGGAGTCATTCACTGTCATATATCAGGATACATTCACATAATTAACATGAGCTGGGGTGTTATTTTTATAACATCTGTAAGGAGTGTTTTGGAGAACTGGATTTTTTTTTAAAACACCTGTATGTTCTGTTATAGAAACTCCAAAATGACAGGCTTATTGATCAATGTAAATTTAGGATTTCTAAAGTTGCTTGTTCATTTTTGAAGCATTAATTCATTGTCTTGTATTTTTCTATTATAAGTCTCCTGCATGAACTTACCTATACACGGCGCCTGCGCCGCTCCCTTCCTCGTGTTGCGCAGCCTCAATAGGATCTATGCTCATGTTCGGTCCTGCGAATGGCTAATTCTGCTGGTTTGCAAGCTGAACAACACCCCTTTTAAAATATATTTTATTTTAATGACGTCACACCCTCAAAGGGACCGCATCATCTAATGACCCCATGCTGTTTGGTGTTGCAGAGATGACGTGGACCAAGGAGAACCCATGTGAGCCTACTTAAGGCCTACTATGTCTACATAGTACTTCTGTTGGTGGGATTCGCCATTCCTGTTGGGGTACGACACCCGTGACTTTTTTTCTTTTTGCTATTTTGTTTTTTTCTTTTTAAATGAAGCACTGTGATAACAGATGCCCAGACATCTATATTGTAGACAACGTTTCTGTTGAGTCAGTCATTGAGAATGGAAATTTAATGGAGAATGCACAGGAAGGGGTAGATCAGAGTGTTCAAAAAGTGTGAGGTCAGCTGGCTTTTGATTTTGGGTGCACACAGAGAATAATACATAGATCTCTCTCAGTGTAATAAGGCACTAACAGTGGTATTCATGTCACTGGAAACTGAGGAAACTCCGTTTTTTTTTAGGCCAAATTAGTGAACTGGAAGCACACTCCACCTTGGATTTTTTTTTCAGGGTATTTGTTTTGGTCTCAAACTCTAAAATTTCAAATGTTATAAATAAGGCCCAACAGTATGATATGAAGTTTAAATATAATAGGAATCACTTGAGTAAACAGCTGCATTTTATATTTATAAAGCATAAAATAGTGAGGCAAATAATAAAATGAGCACTATTCACTGTAAGCATTTAAGCGAGATTTTACCTACAGCAAAGAAGTGTTCTTTACAGTCAGATATCGAATTCTCTGTACAAAGAGGTTGTTTTATCAGATTTAGTAGATATTTAAAACAAAAAAAGGTCTGGCTGTTTTTTGGGAAAAACAGAATATTCAATTATATAAACGGTAATGGAACTAATGTCAGTTTGATGATCCGAGAAGAGAAATCTGATTTCTGACATTTTTCAAGTTAGGACCCTTTACTTTTATTGTGACATAATGAAAATCCCTTCACATCTTGTTTTGCCTTTGTTCATATAAGCAGCAGATACAGGAGTGTTTGAAATGTTACACATGAATTTTTTTTATTTATTTTTTTACCTAGATTATTTTACAGTCAATTCCGTGGCGGTCAGTGAAATAAATGTCACTGATAAGCAACAGAATTGCAGGTGATGAGTATGGTTAGGTTTTCACACCTGCTTCAACTGATTCCATTCACCACTTAGTGGCTACTGTGAAAATGAATTAAGAGAAAAAGATTAACTCATAAAAGCCTCGATTTACTCAGCTTTCCAAATGATTCAATACTGTTGGAAACACTTTCCAGATGATTTATCTACAATAAGTCCCACAGATTTAATAAAACATAATGGTAATCATGGAGATAAATTGTTTAGAAAGTTTTTCTAACAGTACTGAATCACTTGGAAAGCTTATTAAATTGAGGTCAAGGTTGCAAAACAAATAAATATGAAAGTAAAGAACAAAAACACACTTAAAACCATGAATGGATGGAAAGCAACTGTGGAGAATAACCATAAGGACCATCTTGATTGTCAGTGTAAGTAAGTATTAAAAACTCAGGTCCCTTCCCACAAATACAGGTTAGTTAATATATGGCCTTTACACTTGTAAGTTGGTAACATATTTATAGTTAAAATTTTGCAGCATGGATCTCCCCAAGGACTAAACTACCAAGCTGAAGGGGCACTCCGACCACCATAACAACTTCATCTAAACTAATGGTTTAACACCAAAGGCTGCCTCCAGCACCAATCTCCAGTTTCCTCAGACAGGGGTGCCAATGATTGGCTAGAGCATTATGCTGATGCTCTAAGCCAATTGGTAACTCCACGTTCATAAAAAAGGTATGTAGGTGAAGTTGTTATGGTGACTAGAGTGTCCCTTTAACTTCCAAACAGCTCAGTGTAGAATAAATAAATAAACTGTAACAAACACTCAGCTTTGTCCCTCTGGTATCAGTTTTAAGCTATATTTTCAGGGACATTGCACTACATCTGCCATTGATCAATAAACATATATTAATTATTTGTTCTTCCCAGACACACAGAAGGCTGGTATGTCTACATTTTAGTGAGATGTATCTGTTTGATCATGGCATTGTTACCAGATGTTAGTAAGCTATTGTGTGTCTAAAACTTGCACTTTGATGTCTTTTGGAACCTGACAAAAGAATGTGATTCTTGCACTTACTTGTCATCCCTCTCTGGTTTGCTTTCAGTTGCAGTGACATTTCATGACTAATTAATAGGACATCTCATCCTTTAGGTCTCTTATGAATCGACCATTTAACAGATATCGATGCTTGTCTCGGGTATTTTGGTTTAAGATGGCGAGGACAATGACTCACAGAGTATTGTCTCATTTAACAATCAGAGTGATGGAATAGTAGACAGAATAAAATCTAAATTGCCAGGCTTACTCGAAATTTTTTTACATTATTATAGAATGTGTATTTTATAAATCTATATACTACCTTGAATCAAACATCAAACTCTGTTTCTATATTTAAATCTCCTGTAGTGTAAAGAGATTCTACGTTGTAAAACCCTTTGTTTTGATTTACCGGTATATTGTTGTTTGACTTGTTCTAGGTTTCTTGGGGGTTGGGGGGACTCCCCTATTATCAGGTGTGCTGCCTCCCATCCTAGTGTTCTTAGTTTGTTTAGTGCTGCTCTATTCCTTGTTCAGTTTTTTTCTCTTTGCCTATTCTGCGGAGTGAGCTTCTGTGAAGCATTTTCAAATAAGTTTTTTTTTATTTATTTTTTAAAGGGACACTATAGTCACCAGAACAACTACAGATTATTGAATTTGTTCTGGTGAGTATAATCATTCCTTTTAGGCTGTTTGTTGTAAACAATTACTTTTCAGGGAAATTCAGTGTTTACATTACAGCTTAGTGATAACTCCACTGGCCATTCCTCAGATGGTTACTAGAGGTACTTCCTGGAGAAGTACTGCACAGTGTGCAGCACTGCCATTCAGTGTCTCCACCCTCTGTATGCAGACACTGAACTTTCCTCATAGAGACACATTAAGGAAATGCTGATTGGCCAGAGCTGTGTTTGACTTGTGCTGGCTCTGCCCCTGATCTGCCTTCTTGACAGTCTCAGCCAATCCTATGGGAAAACATTGTGATTGGCTCAGAGAATCACTTTTGATGATGTCAGCCAAGCAGGCAGATTAGGGGCAAAGGCAGTAGCTGCAGATTTGAATAAAAGTAAAATTTGTACTATATTTAGTGGCAAGGGTGAGCAGATGGTGGTTTTAACACTATAGGGTCAGGAATACAAGTTTGTGTTCCTGACCCTGTAGTGTTACTTTAACCTTTAACTTTTTACCTGCTGTAACATAACTATTGTATCTTTTATGTGCTCTGTTTTAAAGCTTGTATATATTTTTATGGTTAGGAGATGGAATCCAAGTGACTTTCTTTCTCAATTTCTCCCATTGAGACCAACCTGTGACTTTTACT